TATTATTGCTCTTTTTCTTTTTCATTCCTGAGACAATCCATTAGATTATTGAAACGTTATATTTATATAAAATGATAATAAATAGCCTTTTAGGTTTATTTTGGAAGTTTGCAAGAATAGGTAAATGAATTTTAATATTTAATATAAAAAAATTTTATTATTATTTATTTAATTTATTTAATATGAATTGATATGAATAGGTGAAAGATTGAGTCCTTACGTCTCGCTGGCATGTATTGCAACTGCCATAATATATTTTTGTAACAATATAAACAAAAAACAAAAAATACAACAATCATAATAATAAATAAATAAATAAAAACAAATGTTTTTGTAAAATCCGTGTGTTTTTACAAGACGCGATTTTTTAATTAATCAGATTGGCTTTGGTTCGTTATTGGGGCTTTGATTGACTAGAAAATTAAAAAATACAAATTACCCAAGTTTAATTAGATGGGCTCAACTCCAACAAATAATTATTAAAGCAAAGAATAAAATTACCTCATCTAGTTCTTGTTTCGTTTTATCTTCTAATTTTCTTATATCATCCAATGATAGACCAAACCATTTATCAGTCCAACAAAATAATTGTCTATGAAATCTTGTAAACAACGATTGCATCGTCTTTAAGAAAAATGTTAATGACTATTAGTAATGTTACAGTATATATGTACATATGAAATATATAGCTTACACTATGAATAAATGCTTCAATCTTGCTTTGAATCCCACGCCATTTGAATTCAACAGTTACAAGCTTATAACAAGTCATAACAGGTGTAACTTTATTCTATAATAATAATAATAATAATAATAATAACATAAATATTATATCAAGGATTCAAACTTAAAAATTTAACTTTTTTTTATCGCACTTACGATCCAATCACCTTTCAATGGTCCTCTGCCAGTTTTTCTAGAATGATACAAAGTAGGATCTTCATCTTCCTTATAATCCTTTTGATCAATTGTATCATTTGCCACGTCAATTATTATAACTTTACGTTGTTCAAGTAAATCTTGTGGAAGATTTAATACCTTTAAAATAAATAATTATTATAATTACTATAATAACAGAAAAAATTAAAAATATATAAATATATATAACACACATTATCTATTTCACCGCGACTATCATTCACGTGCATAGTTTCTGTAATTAATTTAAAATTTTCTTTCATATAACCATTCTGTTTGGGAAGAAAAATAAAATCATCTTTTAATACATACATATACTTATAAACTTATAACTACAGTATATAATAATACTTACGGTTAAAACTTTTGAAAATATTAAGAAAAATTTTATTTAATAAATTCACCATTAATACCTCTATATAAAATAGTTAATATGAAGCT